CTTGCCATGGAGTAAGCAAGCAAGTATAATTATTACATAACCACGTCTCCTGAGGAATTTTGTAATTGCCTTCTAAGTTATACAGCACTAATTAAATTAACTGTTTTGGTAGAAGCTATAAAAGAATATAAGGTATTTCATTATTTTGTACTTTGATTTTGTTAAAGACACTTTTTTTTTGCAGTAGAATTACACTTTGAATTATATATATATATATATATATATATATATATTCACTGGGACATACTGTACCATATAGATAGAAATCGTAAGTATCATATAGGTAACTGACATTGCACCTGAGCTGTGGCCACCAGCCTCACTGATGTCCTTTTTCTTTTTTGTGGTAGAACTTGTCTTTTCAAAAGAAAATCATTTTAATAAAAATATTCTTAGGACAAAATATATCCTGTATTTTTATGAATAGTTACAAAATATATTGTTGTTGTTGTTGTTGTTGTTGTTGTTGTTGTTGTTGCTTTGGTGTCAGGAATTGAATTCAAGACCTTGTGCTTGGCAGGCAATCACTGTGCCACTAAGTTGTATCTCCAGCCCTGACATATAGTATTGTTAATGAGCTAATCTGAAAGTAAAATGCTTTAAAACTACATAAAATGATATAGCTACCATTTGCCATGAACTTGGTATTCATAATTAAGTAAAGAATAAAAGTAAAATATTTATTTGGATTTTAAAGTCATTTTAATTTTCTAAAGTTATTAAGGGATAAATTATTATACATTTTAAGGTAAGAGGATATACAAAAATGTTTGATGAAAATAAGGAATAATGAGTCTCGTCCCAAGAATTAGCTGTTGTCCAGGAACTCAGGAATTTGCAAATGTTACCCGCTGACTCTCTACACATGGTTCCTAGGCTCAGGTTTTCTTTCTCCCCTATATTAACTCATGCCACAGTTTAATGATCCTGCCAGAGTCCCTAGTAGTCCTCAATAGGTGACAGGCTCGCTGCTTGCTGTAATGTGATAGCAGTAGGTAGCTGTGAGACTGCTTCAGCAGCGCCCGAGGGTAGAAATTATGGAGTCTAGAAAGGTGAAGTGAGAAATGCCCTTTAAATCAAAGAGAAGGTAATTATTAGAGAAAAGTTTATGAGCTCACCAGATTTCAGTGTAGATTTTGTTTTTATGGAATGAATTTAAAAGAAGAGGTTACAGTTAAAGTTGGAATGGGAAAGCTTGCCACTGTACTCCACCTCTGGTTGTAGCTGTTTCCGTTCCTTTGTTGAACCTACATCTTCTTAAGCTTCTTAGCAGGTAAATGTTGAACACTTCTGCTTCATGGTCCGTGTGGAATCAGAGGCCATCATACAGGCAACTGAATTGTCTGTTTTCTTCTGTCTTTTTCCATGACTCTTACCTACTGCCTCATCTTGATTTATAAACAAAATGTGGAAAACCTACAAAATGAATGTTTTGTGGTTTATCTAGAAATAATACAGAAAATATTGCTGTTATTTTTGGTGAAGAAAATTTTGTATAGTTTATTTCAATCTAAATAAAATGTGAATTTAAAAAAAATAAATCAAAGATAAGGGACTGGGGAAATAGCTCAGCTGCATAAACCCCTGCTTGGCAAGTGCATTGTTCTGAGCTTAATCTCTGATACCAAAAATAAATAAATAAATAAACAATTAGTAATAGATAAAGTGCAAATACTTTTAATGAATAAAATACAATAAAGGGATACATATTTAAAACCTACAAAGAGCATATACAAACCAATAAGAAGCAGACATAAAATGCAAGAAGCAAACATGCCAGAAACAATAACCTCACTAGCATTTAAAAAAATGCAGAGTCAGATCAGCACAATTGAAATATTTGTTGATGTGTAGTATTCCTCAAGGTGCAAAAAATTGAATTCTTTTCTAGTGAGTGCAACGATGCTGTTAATTTAAAATGCATTTAGCATAGTAAGAAATGTTCATTGCTAAGGCCCAGATATTTCGCATCTCCATGACTATGTTAAAAGAACCCTGGAACTTACTCAAGTGAGGCAGCCCAACTCTACTGCCTGCAGTATCATGAGAAATTGAAAGCGCAGCAAGGGCCTGGGAATTACGGCACATCCAAGGTAGGCAATAATATTCATTGATTAGAAGGAAGGAGCTACAAGTGGGTGTGTTGACGTAAAAAGACTGAAAAAACTATAAAAAAATGTCTCCATATATGATATCTCACCATTCTTTACAAATGGTGTCTCACCTTTAAAAAGAAGGGGGGGAAGAAAACGAGAGATGGGGGAGGAGAGACCAAAAAGAAAAAAGGAAGGGCTAGAAAGAGACTAGATCTTGTATTACACTAGTTTTTGAACTTTCTTGGAAAAGTCCCTCAATAAGAAACACATTTTATATCTTGATTGATTGGACTCTTACTGCACTCAGTGTTCTCCGAAAATGTTCTGTCCTGTTCCAATTCATTTCCTTCCATTTTTCAAAACGCTGGTCATAACCCATTAAATTGACTTTAGAACTTAACTACAGTTTGAAAAACTCTTTTCTGAGATTCACACATATGTAAATGGTAAAAGGGAGATGGGAAAGCACCACATTTAAGCCAAGGTCAGGCGTCACTGCTGGGTAGGTGGCTGTGATGGGTGGTGGTTCCCAGGGGGCTGGAGTCTCACCTGCGATACTTACATTATTGTTTGTTTGCTTGCTTTTTTTCTTTTTCATTTATGTATTTGGTACAAGGTCTCATTATGCAGCTCGGACTCATAGTGATCCTCCTGTTTTCAGCCTTCCCAGCATTGGGCTTACAGCCCAGACTCAGTCAGTCACTGGCTCAGGGCATCCTGGGGGTGGGGCCAGCATGGCCTGCCAACTGGGTATCAAACCCTGGTCCCTGCGCTTGCCAAAGCAGGCACTTAGTCTGCTGAGCTATCTTACAGGCCCTGTTTACTTGCTTTTAGGGGAAGGTTTTTTTTTTTTTTTTTGGTGCCGAGGACTGAACCCAGGCCTTCCAGCTTGCTAGGCAAGCATTCTAACACTGAACCAAATTCCCAGCCCCCTGTTGGCTTGTTTTTATAAGGGACAGGAATAATTGAACATTTTGGGGTTTGTTTTTCTTTGTTAGAGAGTATGCCATCAGAACTTTTTCAGAGTCAAAGATTTACTGGGACTGAGAGAATAGAAATCAGAAGAAACTTAAGACAGAGTATTTTAAGTGAAATTGCTTAGTTAGTAAGCTCAGAAGCAATTCTAGCTGGCTCTCTTGGTCTTTGTGTTTAGGGCCACAGGCGAGCACATGCTTGTGGCAAGGTCGAGTCAAGCCTGTGTAATAACCCGGTCACAAGATCATCACTAACCTAAGAACTCTGCCATGCTGTGAGGCTTGTACTTGTTACCTATGAGTATTGTGTCTACAAACAAATAACGTATAGTAGTCAGCAAAAATAAGTCAGAATTCAAGCTTATCACCTTCAGAAGATACAAACATAATGTCCCTATGCCATCTGCTTTGCCTCCTTACATAGTCTTCAGTTTTTGCAGTGGCTCTAGACAAAACAGGAGAAATTTATTTCCGTAAGGAGAAAATACTACGTGGAAAATAAGGTACTATAGATACGGTAATCTCTATAAACAGAGGCAGACCACTCCAGCTTTATTTTCTATTTGAAATTATGCTAATTCCTTCTGATGTACCCTATGTCCTTTTTAAGCAAAGTATAATTTATTAAATTTTATCTAATTGATTAAGTAATTGAGGATTTAAAAAGTAAGATACAATATATAGGGGAGCTAAATTATTTAACATCCAGGTATTAAACAAGATATTAACTGCAGATGATAGGGACTAGATTATTTCTTCTGCTGATTTTTCAGGTAACTCTGTATGAGATACCTGCAAAAAAAGTATGTTTATGTTTCATTCTAATTTTTTGTGCCTTAAGTATAAATTTTCATATGTTATAATAGATCAAATTTAACTCTTTTATACAACCACACAAAATTTTCCTTTTAAGGGTTTAAGTACAAAATATTGAAGGTAAAATATGCAAGCTTTTTTAGTGAGCACTTTTTGAATAATTTTTTAAAAATCTTATTACTGTTTATTATATTCAAATTTAGTTTATAGATACTCATTGTATGGAGAGAAGAAAAATGTGTCTTGGGGATTTTTTTTAGACAGGAAATTGGTGAAAAAATGATGTAGAAATTACGCTATAGGTAGAGAAGAGGAAGGGAAAGGGCGGGAGAAGGAAAAGAGAGAGAAGGCAATATACGTTTGCATGTGTCTCCTCCATTTTGCCCACTGTGGATTCATGGGTAAGAAGGAGAAGAGAGTGGCCTCATGGGAAATAGGGATCAAAGCCATTCCTTTGGTATAGCTTTTATTCCCCAATTTAAGTATGGAACACCTAACCATGACAGCATTGAAGAAACAATTCATATATAACCTGATACCACTTAGCCTGAAACTGTGAAGGTAATGTGACTTTATAATGATAATTCAGATCAATTAAACATGTTTGATTTAGACTTACAGAGAGGTCCAGGTGAAATTATAATTTGTAATAATCAAGGATTTGAAAGTTACTAAATTATAGTTAAGAGAATGTTTGTTTCTTTCTTCTGCAAAATTGCCTTACTTCTTTAGTAGTTTGGATAAAATTAGTTTTAGCATATTATGGAGACATTCTGAATGTAAGAGTTAAAAAGGTGATGGGCCTTTCACTACCCATGTCTGCAGCCACACCTGCAGTATCCAAGGTACTACTTCTTCCTGAAGGCTTCCTGCTGTACTTGCACACAAAAATGCTCAAGAGATAAATGGTCAACAAATAGTATTAGGTTAGCTAGAGGCCTAAGAAATGAAGGGAAAAATCTTTATTTCATAAAATGAAATATTACATGTTGTCTCATTGGTAGGTTGAGGTCATCGCTTTACAGTTTTCCCCCAGAGTTTCAGCGCATTTTTTTTCCATAAATACCATTTTTTAAAAAAGAACTTGACTAACTACAGATTTTATTACCTGCAGCATCTGCAGGGATTGCCGTGTCCCAGAGGAAAGTGCGTCAGATCAGTGATCCTATTCAGCAGATACTAATTCAGCTGCACAAAGTCATCTACATCACGCAGGTCAGTGCGCTCGCTTTTTTTCTTTTCTTTTAATTTCCCACACAGTTTGGTGCTAATATTGCTGAAGAACTGGTTTGTGGAACTTTCAGTGAGAAAGTGAATACTTGTTCCTGTGCTTCCCAGCTACACATAGGTGGGGTCTTATTGGGTCAGCAGCAAGCCCAGGAAGACAAATAGGTAGACAGCAAGTATGTTGGCATCCCCGTGACCTCTGACATCTTCTCTCGTGGACAAATCAAACTCCCTCACAAATGGCCCTTGAGGATGGAGGTCAATAAAAGGGAAGAGAGTGGGGCTTCCTTTTCTATAAGCAGATCTACCACAGGAGGGAAAAAAAGAAAAAGAAAAACTAGTGCCAATTTCTTCTCTACTAAACTGGAGGATTCTGGGTTGAAAATTGGACCTCTTAGAGATGTGAAATCCAAAACTACACAAAATCCAGGATTGTTAAGGTTTTGTTGATAATCCCTGACTATTAGGTACTAAAGAAAAAAGAAAAGCAGTACTGAAAAGCAGCTATTAATTATCGACAGAAGTTTGTCACGTAAAAGCAACTTGGATATTTATGTACCAAAGGTGTATACTATTAAGGAAAAGCTACATTTTCATAGACAAAGTAGAGATATGTGGATGTGAAAGTCACTATTATGTTGAAGTTTAAAATTGGATGGCTTTGAAAAATTATTATTTGGTATAGGGTCTCCCTATACAACTCAGACTCATAGTGATCCTCCTGGTTTCAGCTTCCCTGTGTGCTGCCAGGGATTGAACCCCGGTCCCTCTGCTTGCCTAAGCAGACACTTACTCTGCTGAGCTATATTGCTAACCCTAAAACTGAATGTCTTATGCAGTTTATTCCTTCATTGACCTATTGGACATGTAGTGCCCACCAGGTGCCTATTGTAGGTATTCAGATATATCAGTGAGCAAAACATAAAAACATATCCTTACCCTAGGATTCAAATTTTCCAATTTTGGAAATTCCAACTGTACATTGAGGCACTGCAGAGAAATTCCTGAGCTCAGTAGACCCAGCTGGGCACATTGTGAGTCAAACTCTTAATACTTTGTCTATTACCTGAATGCCTCACCTCCCCACAAGTCCCCACAAAAACAAAACTCAAAACTTTTACATGGATATAAGTTAATGGAATTATAAAACTCTAGGAATTATGTAATTTTGATTTATAATGGTGCCTAGTATTTTCAGAAGGCCTATTTTTCTTTTCCTGGGGGACAGTCACCTAGTAAATACCTGAAAATATCTTTGGTGTCTCAGTTACTTTTCTTTCGTTGCTGGGACAGAATACCCAGTCCCCCAAATTAAGGAAGGAAAGATTTGTTTAGCTCACAGTTAGTGGAAGTCTTCAGTCCAGACTCGGCTGGCTCCAAGGCAGAGTGACACATGACAGAGGGCAATGGTTCATGGAGATGGCTAAGAGCAAAGAGAGGGGCTATAGCACAGGCAGCTAGCTAGCTTCTCCCCACTTCCTTACATTTGTACACAGAGCATCTGCCCAAGGGCACTCACACCCATAATCCCAGCATTTGGATCATGAGTTAATCACAAACTCTAGAAGCCACACCATGACTGCATGAGGCTTTGGAGGCACACCTAGGTATAAGCCATAACATTTGGGAAAGGCTCAGAGGGAAATGGATACTGTGCATGTGTAGAAATGTTTCAGGATCTTCCTCAAGGGATGTTTCCCTGTTAAACAAGGTATTGGGGGCCTTTGAATTAACTTAGGTCTAGAAATTAGATGAGAGGTGGGACATTTTTTTTTTTTTTTTTTTTTACGGCAATATATAACTCAAGTCTGGATTTTTTTTTCCTATTGGACCTAGAGCTTCTCTTCTGTTATTTAGACTCAAAGCCACTATAGTGGGCTGATAATTTCCTTTCCAGTAAGACCCCTAGTCAGTTAACGACCCAAAAATATCTGCAAAGATCGAGGCACTCTCACCAGCAGTACATTTCTGCTGCCCATTATGGTAAAGGTTTCCCAACTGTCACTGACAGTCAGATTCTTTCACCTGGCCTCTGATGAGTGGGTACACTGGAATCCTGTTGCCTTTATCCTACCTAGCCTGCAAAGGAGAACATGAGCATGCTGGGCCTCCCTCTCCAATCTGCTTCTCAACACCTTATCAAAAGGAGAGGCTTTTGGGTGCTTTTGCTGACTGTGGTTGGGGAATACATGTGCAGATCACACATTGTGAATTCACCTCAGGGGTCTCATTTTTTCAGACCTTTGAATTCTCTTCCATACATGCCAGAGGAGCTCTGGCATTTCATCTTCAGTAAACATAGGCATACTCACAAGTGAAAGAAACTGAAAAAGTAAATGAAATACAAAAGTTACAATAGCTACTTGGAAAGGGAAAGAAACTGCTCAAAAGGAAAGAACAACTGGGAGGAAGGAAAGGAGAAAAGAAGGAAGGAAACACACACACACACACACACACACACACACACACACACACAAACCCAAGACAGCTAAGATCATTATACTACTAATTTCTATTAGTGCATTGAAAGGAATAGTTAGTACTTATGTTGCTTGATCCATTTTGCATACCTATATCTGGCAATGAAAACAACTACTTTATTTTTTTTTTTATTTTACTTGGGAAGTGTTTTTATTTTTTATTTTTTTTCAAATTGATAGGACAGTTTCAATAATTAACACATTGCATACATTCCTCGCAGTGGTTAATTGCTGTACAAGATGCGGACATGATATCCTATTTACAAACACCATTAGAACAAATCACTCTATTCATTAAGAGAATGTAACTATATATCTATCCTAACCACTTTGAATACACAGATACAAAATGGACATTCATCTGTATACCCTTTTTTTGTTAAGTTCTGTTATTTGAATATTATAGGTGTGTAAACTCAGCAAAATATTCTAAAAGAGTCCAGTGATCCATAATAGTATCGGGTCTTCCGCTTGACTGGCATTGTCAGAAACTGTTGACCTGAGTCCCCTACAGCTCAACGTAACAGCATGGCTTTACTTCCTATATTTCATTTTTATACTTTTCTGCTGGATGGCTAAGACCAAGGTAAAGCAGGACCTATGCAACAATTTTCCCGGAGGATCTGAAAACAGCATATCATAGGGATATATGTGTGCCTATGTTTATAGCAGCACAATTTGTGATAGCCAAATCTTGGAACCAACCAAGATGCCCATCACCTGAGGAATGCTTGAAAAAGATGTGGTATTTTTACACAATGGAGTATTATTCAGCTATTAAGAATGATAAACTCGAAGCCTTTATATTGAAGTGGATGCCACTTGAACATATAAGTGAAATAAACCAGACACACATGTGTAAATATCGTATAGTTTCCCTAGTATAAGAACTCAAAAGAAGAAATACACATAGAAAGGTATAATACAAGTGAAAACAACTACTTTGAAGACAATAATATACAATATAATAATCATTGTTAATGTCCTGTCATCTTGTTTTGAAATTCTGTATCTTCTCTGTTATTTATTATTATTCTCTTTAAAATAAACCCAGGAGGGGGCTGGGGATGTGGTTCAGTGCTAGAGCTCTCACTTTGCATAAAAAAGGCCCTGGGTTAGATTTCCAACACCACAGAATAAAATATAAAATGATTGCAGGGTACCACTCAAACAAGTTTGAGCCAACCAACCAAGCAAGCTTCCGCCTCCGTCTGCGTGAACTAATACAATAAACTTGTGCACTCTAGTGCACACACTAAGGCTACGTGTTACCTTTCTTGGCTTAACATCTGTAGGGATCTACTTCTTTGCATGTTCTCTAGCTTTGTACTCATATGTAATAGCAAGAGTTTACAGTTCTTTGGTTTAGGAACTGTTTCCTCCCGAGTCATGGGATGTGCTAATTTCCCTGAATTGTGACGAGGTCTGACTCTGGTTATGGAATTGCCCCTAACTAAAAGATGTCCCATGAGGTTATCATCCAGCTTTCAAGTAAAGGAGGACTTGTTTTTCCAGATCAAAAGTGACAAAGCTTCCTCCACAAATAAAGAAAGCTTGGAGTGACCTGGGTTTCAATGTTTTTAGTTGTCACTGTGTTCAGCAAGATGCCCTTATTGCAAGTTTTCAGATCCTATTTTTTTCTAACTTTCAGATGAAAAACTTGATCAAGTGTAAATCTATCTGACATTGTTAATGTAATAAACTGCCTAATTAAATTTGGTGTTTGGTTATCAGGTCTATTAGTGCTGGGGCAGCACAAAATGACAAGTTCTTTTAGCACTCTCCCAGAACCCCTCTGAGTCTCAGACCATGATGTGAGCTGGGAGTTAGAGCCTTGGGGGCCATTTTCTTTCTTAGTGTTCCACTGCCCTAGGAAGAGCCGAGCCCACCCACCCCACAGTGCTTGTGGTCCTCCGTACTGCCTCAAGTCAAGTGCAGTGGCCCTCAGGGTCTCCATGCTGCTTGCTTCAGCTGGCACTTTATCAAGGTGATAACATGATGAATTGTGGTTCCTCTCTATGCCACGAGTTACTGGCAACCTGTGTCCTATTGCCAACCAACCCACAAACAAATCTCAGCCCTGGGCTGTTCCAAGGACATGGTAAACCAAGGCCCTTGCTCCCTCTGAACTCGTGTGTTTCCTCATCATTTTTGTAGCCTGCATCTGAACCAAGGAGTATCCAGCCAGAAATAGCACAGGAATTATGTCACTCAGCTATCCATCACTGTAACAAATTCCAGAGAAAAATCAACTCATAAAGAGGTTTACTTTGGCTCAGCCTTTGCAGAGTTCTAGTCCAAAGTCCCTTGGTCCTATTGGCAAAGTGGCTCAGAACATTAAAAATACATTGGAGCAAAACCTCTCACTTCATGCCTGAAGCATGAAAGATAAGAAAAAGAAGGGTCAAGGGGTCTCATTATCCCCACTTCTACAATGAACTGAAGACCTCTTAGGATGCCCAGATCTTACAGGTTCTACCAACTCCAAAAAGCACCATCTGGGAGCAA